ATCAGGAAGAAAATTGTTCCACTGGTACCTAGACACCTCCTCTCTCATTCCACGAAGAACCATCAAGAAAGCTCACGTGGTGGCTATGTAGTTGCTGACTCTATTTATTGCTGGTTTGGTTATGGACTAAAACTAGGTTGGCAGATTTGAATTTGCCTAATAGGATGACTATTTTTTTTTAATGGATCCGTATATGTCTTATTTAGCCCAAGGAAATAAAATTTTAGTTGGGGATTCAGCAATAAAATATTTGAAATTACTTCTCAATTTCTAAGTAACCTAATTCCCAAGTAGCATTAAGCAAATAATAGGTGTGAATACTCTGGGTCAGAGTTTTCTGTATTATGGATGCCAAACAGGTAGCTTTGATGGTTAAAAGTATGTTTTTTAAGTATGTTTTGAATATAAGCAGCAGCCTCCCATAAAGGGAGAAAAAAAAACAGTGCTCATTGACCAGTTGTTTATATTTATCTCCATCTAAAAGGTACACGTTTTTCTTGAGGGAAGGAGAAAATGTGGCATAGCCTCAACATAATTAAAAATGTTTTTACCACCAGTATGGGTTTGGGGTAGTTTAGAAATAACATTGGTAATAACCACCCTTGTGATCAATTGTAATAATGCATAAAACATACAGATGCCTAAAACAGTAGCAAAACTATAAAATACCTGCTTGAATTAATAATTGGTTATACTCACACATGAATTTTCGTTTATTGTGACATTCAATGTAGGGTTTTGATTTTTGGCTTCTAGTATGTCATACATGCTTTCCCATTCAACATGTTTTAGAATTCCTTATATTTTAGGGGAAAAATCTGGATCTGGGAGTTTGATACAGTCCTAGGATCCTTGCTTATTACTCTAGGTGTGCACCCTATGATTTCTCCAGATCTTTGAATACTTAAAACTGAAGTAGGTAAGAGAAAGAGTCTCTGGAGGATATTTCTGCAACTTCAAAGTTGCCTTTGGAAGAATATGAGATCACAGAAAGTTTTGTCTCTGTTAGTCATTTATTTGTATCCTACTTGGTTCCAAAAAAGGATTTGAAGAGTCTATCATTGAATGACTGGATGAATTAACTGGGTGGGGGGAAAAAAAAAAAGAAAAACAAGGAAACACCAATGTATGTAATATAATGGTGGTTACCAGGGTGTTGGATAAGAGTGGTGGTGTTTAAGGGTACAGACTTGTAATGAGTAATAAATAAACCTGAGATCTAATGTGTGGTATGATGAATATAGATAATAATGTTATGCTATAATTATGTAATGTGATATCACTCCATCGCAGTCATGTTGCAATATATAAATGCATCACAGTAAGCTATACACCTTAAACTTAACAGTGTTACATGCCACATTTATTCATTTTTAAAAAAATCAAGAAATAGTGGAATCATATGTAGGTTAACAAGGAATTCTTTGAAGCACCAGTTTCTTTCATAGTAAAAACCAGAAGGTTCTCAGTTGTAAAACGATGCACTGAGCAACAAGTACGAGCACGAAGGCCAACAGAATATTGAAACTTTGCTATTAATAGCTCCATGCCTTACTGAGGGTTGAATAAGAGCGAGAAGCAAAAAGCTCAGTTACTAAGTGTGTATAGGGTTGATATCTTGTGGAAATTTAAGAACCCATAAAGGGTGTACATCTGAATACATTTGCTCAAAGTGAGCAAAGGGAGTAATTTTAGCCTGGGAAAAAGGCACACACAGTACCAAACCTGGATGAAGGAAAGAGAAATGAGGGAATGACACAAGATGAACTGAAATATACAGCGTTAGGAATAGGAGTTGCTGTATTAAAAGGTTGAAAGGCACCTACCAAATGTAACTAGTCCAGTAATTAGCAAGGCCAGCTATCCATTAAGGCTACTCCCAGATCAAAAGATCTCTAGATCTTAGAATTCTTAAAATTGAAGTAGGTACCTCCTGCATTAAGCAAGTGTTTTGTCTCAAAGGTGGTACCATCTTTAAAGGTCCAGGCTTGAAAGAAAATGCCTGATGATAATTGGTACCCAGAACTCAACTAAAAAAAAAAAAAAGTAAATGGGCAAAAGATTGGAACAAGACCCTTTACCAAAGAAAATTAATAGATTCCAATAAGCACATGAAAAGATGTTCACTATCCTAAATCATTAGGAAAATTTAAGATTACACACTTAACTAAATTCTGGTTGGGATGTAAGTCAACGAAACTCAAATTGCTGGAGAAATCACAAAATTGTAAGGTCACTTTGGAAAACTGGCAGTTTCTGACAAAATAACCTATGACACCATAATCACTTTCCTAGGTATTGATACAAGTGAAATGAAAACCTGTTAACACTGAAACCTGTATGTGAATATAGCAGCTTTATTCAGTTACCAAGTCAACTCAAATAGCCTTCCACCTGGTGAATGGTAAATTGGTGCATCCACACAGTGGAATACCACTTAGGAATAAAAAGGATGAAGTTTTGCAGAGCAATGGAATTCATACCTTGATCACACTGGTGATAATGTGATTGTGTTTTGACAAAACTCAAAACTACACCTAAAAACAGTTTTGTCCTTCTAGCTTAACCAAAAGGGTACCAAACCTTTAAAAAACTTTTTTTTTTTTTAATTTTATTTATTAGCACATAGGAGGAGGAGCAGAGGGAGAGGGAAAAGCAGGCTCGGTGCTGAGCATGTGCCCAACACGGGGCTCAATACCAGGACCCTGAAATCACAACCTGAGCTGAAACCAAGAGTCAGTCACTTAATTGAGCCACCCAGGTCCCCCAAAGGGTATCAAACCTTTAAAGGAAAAGGCTCTAAAAGGGGGACTAGGACATACCCATATTTTACCTTGGTGGAAATCCCAGCAGGGAACCACTGATTCCCACTGGCCTTGCAAGTATTATATACTGAGCTAATGTAGTTTAGCCCATACCATCAGCCTACAGTACAATTGCAAAAGCTAAGGAAAGATTAGAACTAAAGAACAGCATGCTGACATCAGTCTGTAGGTAGGGGCACTGAGCCACCTCACCTTACAGTTTCACAGCTGGTAACTGTTCAAGTTCATGGGGTTTTCACTGGAATGGGTTTTACTGGTAAAACAGCCAAAGAACCATCAGCTGGAAGGCTGACTGGCCTGTCAGTTCAATCTAAATCAGAAAAGGGCTTTGCCTGTGGCATCACTGAGAGTGGAAGATGTATTTGATTCTTCAATAGGGATATTCCCTCTGAAGAAGTAGTAAATCCTGACTCATGGGATGAAAAAGGATGCTTGAAAAGTGTTCCAACAGATGGGTGGGCTAGGGGGAGTTGTCAGAAAGTAGGAACAAAGTGATCGAGTGAAGGTAGATCAAGACACCATCTGAAGAAATCTGGGTCAACACTCATAGAGTGAAAAGATTTCTGTTCTCCCTCAAGGTGATGGTCAAAAGATAAAGGAAATGAGCTTCAAGTTTGTCTTTCAGGTGACAGGCAACACCACAACAGGAAAGTGAAATTCACCATCATCTGTGAGGTTCTAATCTGTGCAGTCCCAATTGCCTGCTACAGGGCCTAACAAAATCCTAGTAGGGCACAACACCCCAATTCTTAAACCAGCATTCCTTTGGCCCAGAATGCTGGAATTGCTGGGGTGGCTACACCCAAAGGATCCTCCCTAGTCCTCAGGAAGGAAGTGGATGATCTTTTGTGTAAAAGTAAATTGGAAAATGCTAGTGTAAAACGGTACCAGAAACTTTGCTGGGATAATCCTCATGGATGCCCCTCATGACTCCTCACTAAGACAAGGCCAAGAGCATTATGTAGAGAGCCCTTCCCCTGTGTGACTTTCCTTATCTGTCCCTACTGGCATACATGCCAGAAGCCATGATGGCTTCTGCCCAAAATACAATAGGCATACATACTGAAGAATGGAGACTTTAGAACTCTTAAGTTCCTCTCCCAAGGATCTCTATCAAAACAAATGTGTGTTTTGCAAAGGTGGAGCTTATGAGCCTTGGGTCAACTGAGTTATCTCAATCCAGAGGAGGGATCCAGGAAAGAAAGAGGGAGGGGGAGGGAACCCCCAAGTCCTGCATTATACTATCGTATAATAGAAAAGTATAGTATAAAAGTATAAAATTAAGATAGATTAAAAATCTTAAAAGATTACATGGGGCGCCTGGGTGGCTCAGTTGGTTAAGCAACTGCCTTCGGCTCAGGTCATGATCCTGGAGTCCTGGGATCGAGTCCCGCATCGGGCTCCCTGCTCAGCGGGGAGTCTGCCTCTCCCTCTGACCCTCTTCCCTCTCGTGCTCTCTCTCATTCTCTCTCTCAAATAAATAAATAAAATCTTTAAAAAAAAAAAATCTTAAAAGATTACAATTAGAAAAAAAGCAACAAAGAAACCTGTCATTTTGGGGCACCTGGCTGGCTCAGTCATTAAGCATCTGCCTTCGGCTCAGGTCATGATCCCAGGGTCCTGGGATCGAGCCCCGCATCCGGCTCCCTGCTCAGCGGGAAGCCTGCTTCTCCCTCTCCCACTGCCCCTGCTTGTGTTCCCTCTCTCGCTCTGTCTCTGTCAAATAAACAAAAAGATACATAGACTAAGGTAAAATATCTATATGCATATGTGAAAGTGTGCAGGAGTGAAATTTCCTAAAAATCACAACCTATATTAAAAAGATAAGAGGAAAGAGGAGAGGGAAGCACGAGCGGAACCCAAACCCAGTAACAACCACCAGAAGCAGCTGAGGGATAAAGACTGAAAAAACTTCGGGGTGGTGGGGGGGATGTTTTTTGCAGAAAGCAGAGATCCTCTGGAAGCTTCTCCCACGGGGCTCATATCCCTGATGTCATTGGAGCCCCAGGTAGAGGTGTGGCTTCCCTTGCAAACATACAGCTCAGGGGGCCCTGCACAGATTGACTCTGAGAATACTGGGTAGATTCTCTTTTATTGGAGAGAGTTGCTTTTATCATACCTTGTACACAGTTCAGAAACACAATTTGGAAGTAAAATGAAAAAGCAAAATCTTACTAAAAATAAAATTTATTGTTTTGTAAAAAATAAATTAACATTTATCATAGAATAGCAAATTAGATTTAATCTAATGTATTAACAAAAGCATAATATACTCTAGTAAACAAGGATTTCCAACTTATTTCCAACTAAATAAATCAATTAAACACTTGGTTTAGCTTGGGGCAAATATGAATCCCTGCCACCTAATCCCGTAAATACATGCTGCTTCACATGTAAGGGAAAAATCAGTATAGAGGTCGCCCCTGCTCTTCCCATTAGAAATGCACCGAACAGTGACAAACCCAGGGAAGAGAAGAAACTATATAGCAAGTAGGAGCTGAAGTCAAAATTCTACTTACATTACCTTAGGGGAAGTGGAAGGGATCTGTTTTAGTTCATCAGGTCGATAGGGAAGACAGTTTGATCATAAAACAGACCAGGGTAAGATTTCATTTGTGCAGCAGGGTGAGCATGGCCATGTCCTAATTCTTTCTTGAGGTTTGGAAGTGTCTCTGGTCACGGACCCATGCTTAGGGTTGAGAGAGGTGCGAATGCTGTGCCCCCAGGCCATCCACAGATGCCAACGTGGCTGCTGGCCTAAGATGATTAAAAAGATGGCTCTCCTTTCTAGACAGACTGGCTCAGTGTCAGGAGTAGAGGTAGGGAGGTATTGTTAACTCCAGTGAGTTGAGTCCACAGTTTATCCCACAATGGATGCATTTGGCTTTTCAGAACCTCAGTGAGATTTTCAGCAATAGGCAATCACCTTCTTGCACCTATTAAGACATTTTTTACAAGCCTCTTGGGTTTGACTCAAAAGGTTGAAGGCTACTCTTGTTGTTCTTGAAGACAAATGCAATTCCTTTTAAGTTATAGATCAGCATTTAGGTTCTATAGTTGAGCATGTCTTCACACCATCCCCTGTTTTGGGCCTCCAAATAGACAGATGCATTGCACTGCTGCATGGAATATTCCATCTCAACCAGTTGGCGGCATCCAATGGTTAACTTTTCCCTAGGGGATAAAGAAATGTTAAATCACTGCAAGACAGCTAGTCAGATAAATGAAAAAATCTTAACAGGATAACACTGGGATTTGAAATACATTCTTTGATAGTTGAGAGTTCGAGTTTCTTAGCACAGACAAAACAACATGGGGAGACAAGCACTTAGTAGCACAGATTCTCAGACTAGATCTAGGTGCAATTCCTAGAATTCAGGAGTTCCCATGGCAGACCTGCATGGGAAGATCTAGGTGCAATTCCTAGAATTCAGGAGTTCCCATGGCAGACCTGCTGCAAACAAGCCAAGTTGGATGCTTAAAAAGTCCTTTGTATGGTCTCTGAAGGACTTCTCCCAGCAGGAGATGGGCTGATGTCACAGTGTTCTAATCCAAAGCATAAGCAATGCTGTAGCCTAGATCACAGGTTTTTGTCTTAACTAAAGAACAGGTAGCCTGGAGGATACTAACAGAATGCACCTCCTGACCGGAGCAGATAATGGAGAGGAGATGGCAAGTTGACAGAGCTTCAATTCTTAAAAAAGAACTGCTAAATTAACAAATGAATACTAGCTAATTACTCTGAGCCAGAGGTAGGGAAGCAGGGAGCGATGCCTATTATACGCCTTGCCTACTCAGAGTTTTACCTAAGCCTAAGCCTAGCCTGTCTCTCAAAAGCTGACTTGGGCCTACAAACTGTGGGATCTGTAAGTCATCAGAGCACCAACCCATTATATCTGGTGTCTGGAGTCCAAATCTCATGGAAGCCTATTTAAATCTATCGGGAGATGGTCTACATAAGCTCATGAAGAATAGCCAGTTGAAGCACCTGGCACATTAGGTGTTGGAAAAATGGCAGGTTTTTAAATGTAAATTACACTGTATTACTTCCTTGGCTTCTACGGTGCTCTGGGCCATCTCTCCGGTGTTGGGGAGGACCACTGGTCACTTCTCTCCACTGACGCCCCCTTCAGAACTCAGGGATTAGGATGAGAGGTGGTAGTGACAGCAAAAGGAAATACACCATATTTTGAGCAGCCTCACTTCCTCAAGATGTGTGGTTTCTTTGACACTAATTAAAATCTGACTTGTGGTTTTGTGTTGCTCTAGTCCTGTTTCCTATATTTACAGTGTTTAAAATTAGTGTTCTGTTGCTGTCAATTCTTCCTAACTACTCAGAAAATGATTTTTGGAAGACCCTAAGAGATCCCCAAATAGGAGAGATGTTGTAAAACAAATAACCATTGTAGATTTTCTTCTTGTACCTAAAAGAATTTCTAACTGCAACAAATATTGTCATTAGTTTTCTCATAACTTATCTAACATAAGTTTTCTCAAAAACTTAAAAATGAAACAAAAAGGGCCCATTCCTGCTCTTGGTGATTTACTCCAGTGTGGGGGAAAAAAAAAACAAAAAACAAACAACTCCTTTAGTAACTAGACTTGAATCTATTTCTGTGTCTTGTCTTCCTTCTTTCTTCCCCTCCCCTCAGAGTTAAGAGGTGATCTCTCTTTTCATCCAACTGGCGTCTTGTTTCTTCATCTGTGTGAGTCAGCATTCTCACAGGGGATTATCACCTCCAGATTCTCTCTCCTGCAGCAAGTTGTCATTGCTGACTGAGAAAAGTATCACGTGTTTTTCATCGCATATGTTTGGTCTCTACTGTATTATGACAGGAATTCTTAAGTTCCTTATCGCCAGGGCTTATATGTAGAATGGCAGAATATTAGATGTGGGGGCACCTTAATCCCTCTGCACCATTTCTGGTGAGTCATATCATGTTGGCTTTCACCAAGTTGTGAGAGCAAACACAACTGTGAGAGGTAGCCCATTTCATATCTCTTAATTTCTAGAAAGTTCTTCCTTGGACCTAAAAAAAAAAAAACATTTTCTGACATGAGTAGCCTAAATTTAAAACAAAAAAAGTCATTCTCTAATACTACAAATATTTTCTCTCTTACAGTGATCCTATTTCTCTTTTGCAAACTAAACAATCCCAACTCCTAATCTGTCCTTGAACAGAGCTCAAGACTGGAGGTTGCTTCTAGTTCTGTAATTCTATGTTACTCATGAGATTTCTACAAAACTGCCAGTTTCTCTAAATTGTCCGTCCTATCATGGGTATCAAACTCACTTTGACCAAATCTCAGGTCAAAATAAACTGGAAATTTGATCAATTTAAAAATAATTTTAGTGGTTATTTGATTCTTTTTCATGGCTAATCTTGTCAAAATGGCATGGCAATAGTGACCTTAAGTGATCTAATGACAATATTTGATGCAGTTTTTCCAAAACTCTTTCTAGGTACAAGAAGAGAGTCTACAATGGATATTTGTTTTACAACTCTCTGAACTTTTCTATTTATTTGCAGTGTGTATCTGAGATGAAAGAAAAATGGAATACAATGTAATGTTAATATAAAAATAGTATATAATAGCTAACATCATATTCAATGGTAAAGACTAAAAGCTTTCCCCCTAAAATCGGGAACAAGACAAGGATGCCCACATATCACCACTTCTATTCAACACTGTACTGGAAATTTTAGCCAGAGCAATTAGACACAAAAAACAAATAATAAGCATACAAATTATAAACAAAGGAGTAAAATTATTTCTATAGATCCTAAAGAATCCACAAAATACCTTAGAATAAACCTAATTCAATGAAGTTGCAAAATAAAAGATCAACACACAAAAAAATCAATTGCATCTTTTTTTAAAGATTTATTTTACTGAGAGCAAGAGCAGGTAGGGGAGGGGGAGAGGGAGAGAGAGAGAAAATCTCAAGCAGACTCTGTGCTGAGTGCAGAGCCCCACGCAGGGCTCAATCTCAGGACCTTGAGATCATCACCTGAACCAAAACCAAGAATCAGATGCTTAACTGACTGAGCCACCCAGGCACCCCAACTGCATTTCTATACACTAGAAATGAACAATTAGAAAAGGAAATGAAGAAAACAATTCCATTTACAATAGCATGAAAAAATTAAAATACTTAGAAATAAGTTTAACTAAAGAGGCACAAGACTTGTACACTAAAAACCATAAAACACTGCCAAAAGAAATTGAAAGACCTAAATTAGTGGCATACCATGCTTAGGGAATGGAAGACAATAATACTCCCCAAAGCAATCTACACAGTCAATGAAATCCTTATCAAAGTCCCAATCTTTTTTTATAAAAACTGATCCTAATATTCACAAAGAATTGCAAGGAACCCCAAATAGTCAAATCTTGAAAAAGAAAAACAATGTTCAGAGGACTCAAACTTCCCAATTTTGGAAAACTCAAAATACAAAGCAACTTTAATCAAAACAGTGGTACTGGCATACAGACAGACATACAGACCAATGGAACAAACAAAGCCCAGAAATAAATCTCACATACATGACCGACTGATTTTCAACAAGGGTGCCAAGATCACTCAATGGAAAAAAAAAAAACAGTCTCTTCAACACTTAGTGCTAGGACAACTTGATATCCACAAGCAAATGAATGAAGTCAGACCCCTACCTCACCTCATATACAAAAATTAGCTCAAAAATGCATCAATGACCTAACTGTAAGAGCTAAAACTAAAAATTCTAAGAAAAAAACACTCATGAACTTAGCTTTGGTAGTGGAATCTTAGACATTATGCCAAAAGCCCAAGCAATACAAGAAAAAAACACATAAATTAGACTTCATCAAAATTAAAAACTCATGTATGTCAAAGGATGCTATCAAAGAAGTGAAAAGAGAATGTACAGAAAGAAAATATTTGCAAATTATAAATCTGATGGGGCCTAACATATAACATGTCAAGCTGCCAGGTACCACGGTGGTTAGTAAGGCAATAACCGGGGTCCTGGGATCGAGCCCCCGCATTGGGTTCCCTGCTCACTGGGGAGCCTGCTTCTCCCTCTCCCTCTGCCTCCCGCTCCCCCTGCTTGTGCTGTCTCTCTGTCTCTGTGTCAAATAAATAAATAAAATCTTAAAAAGAGAGAGACAAAAATTAAAGGTGCCAGTTCCCTCTTGCTCCATTTTTCCTTATAGAATGGCACAGAGTTAGGGCGAGATGATATGCAGTGCGGGGGACATCATCTCATTGCTGAGGATCCCTAAGCTAAGGCTCTTATCTCTTCATGGACCCAGGGGACTAAGCGGTGGGGGTTGTAGTTCATTCACGCTGCTAGAACAAAATATTAAGACGGGGTGGCTTATAAACAACAGAAATTTATTTCTCCTACAGTTCTGGAGACTGGAAGCCCAAGATCAAGGCTCCATCATGGTCACATTCTGGTGAGCACCCTCTTTTATAAGCATTCTCCATTCATGACAGCTCTACCCTCATGACCTAATCACCTCCCAAAGGCCCCACCTTCTAAGACCATGGCATTGGGCAACAGGATTTCAACATATGAATTTGGGAGGGATACAAACATTCAGAAAATAGCAAAGGAAAAGAGCTAGGAGTAGAAAAGCATTGGGTCAGAGTAGAGAAAGATACCTCAGCCAAGGCCTCCAAAAAATTCTCAGCAGAAGTGCCCAAGAGGTGCCTCAGCCAGAGCCCCCAATAAGGAGGCCACCAAATGGAAGTCTGAGCTAGGAATGCGGATATGCACGTAAGCTCAGGGGTAGGGGGCCTAAGCATTGCCTGCAACCCCCTCCAGAAGAGAGCAACACATTGGCTGTGTGCCAAATCTGCTATGGGGAAGGCGGCTTTCCCCAGGGGAGCCTGCCAGACAAAGCCTTTAAACTGCCTAGGGTTAGGCCTGGAAGATCACACATAGGATTTTGGCGTGGAGCCAGATTCCTCATAAGACTTCTTATAACTCAACAGCAAGAAAACAACCCACTAAAAATGGGCAAAGGACTTATAGAGACATTTCTCCAAAGAAAGACAAAGAGCCAATAATAAGCACATGGAAAGGCGCTCCACATCATCAGTATTTAAGGAACTACAAATCAAAGTCACAACGAGGTCACATTTCACACTCATTTGGCCAGCTGGCAACCAAAAAAAAAAAAAA